CCCCACCAATTTCTAGATGCATAGAGCCAACAAAAAAAAAAAATTCACATTGTTGCCGTGTTGCAGCAAGCTTTGCTATGCATGTACCTATAACTGAGTTTGGATTGACAAGGAAAAAAAAAAGGGCTCCATCATACCACAACAGGGCTTAGACATCATCCCAAATCAATACAGATAGAAACTGGTCAGCAAACCGGAGCTGAACTGTTAAAGTTTTAAGTGAGCAAGGGAGGAAAAAGAGGAGAGAGAAAGAGCCCCTTGGAGCACAGAAACGGGGTTGGGCAGGGAGAAGGGAAATATGAAACAGCCTGTAACCAAGTACACAGTTTCACCACGGGATGACCCTGAAGCAACTGCCAGGGAAGCTTTTCTGTGGGTCCCTAGGCTTTACTGAGGGCTGAATGCTCCACTGGCTCCAGGGAGGGCAGAGACCCGGGAAGGAGAGGCAGAGAGAGGCCCCACGCAAGTCTTTGTTGCAGGTCATGTCGCTAGCTTCTTCCCTGCAGTGAAAAGGGGCAGGGGGAGGGAAAGCAGGAGCTCCCCCGTCTCCAAGCTAGGCGTTGAATCTTGAAGAGCTGCATGACATGGCAGAGCTGGGGGGCCTCAGGGGTCTCCCCAAGCCCTCTGGGGAGGGGAGGGGAGGGGAGCAGGGCTGGGCTGCCCTGCACCTGCGGCCCCACAGCCAGGCTGCATCCTGGCACTTCCAGCTTTGCTGGCACAGGAGAAGCCAACATCACCAGGCCTTAAATATGAAATCATGTTGGAAGCTCAAAATTAGTCGCATTTACTGAAAAAAATATGCAAACAAGTCCCCTTATTTTCTTCGTATTGCTCACTGCAAATCGCCAGCGAGCAAGTGAGATGTGTGCCATCACAGTTGCATCACTTTTTTTGGAGAGGTCACAAGAAAGAGCTGGCAGTGAACCCGGGAGTCAGCAACCCCGAGAGCGACTTGGGGTTTGCCCCCGCTGCATCCATGCACTGCCTCAAAAACCATCGGACACTTCGAGCGCTTTTCCTATGCTGGTCCCACAGGGGCCGAGGCCACGGTACACACGCGATAGCCACCGTGCCCTGGGAGCGGGGCTGACCTTGACCTTCTTGCCGTCCAGCAGCAGCGAGCGCACGGAGAAGTCGACGCCGATAGTGTTGTGGTGGCGCTCGCGGAAGTGGCCGCTGTGGAAGCGGTGCACCACGCACGTCTTGCCCACGTCCGAGTCCCCCAGCAGGATGATCTTGAACAGGTAATCGCACGCCTCGTCCAGCACCAGCCCCGGCATCGCCCCGCGCACCCACCTGCCCGGGGCAGCCCACCCGTTTAACCACCCTCGGCGGCGGCGGCTCGGTAAAGGGAGAGGGAGGGGGAGGGGAAAGCCCCACGCCCCTGC